CAGAACACAATGACAAGTTCCAAATAGAATGAAACACAAGTCCTGAATTTCACTACCTACTAAAATCAAGTTCTAATAAAACTTATAATCAAGGACAATACTGAAGTAATTTGGTTTGAATGCAGATATTCTATTGGAGGCTGAGTAAATTTAATTCTTAGTATCAACAGCGAGCTACCTCACACTCCTACATTTAATAAGTATAGTGTTTAATAGAAAATATAATAACCTAGTGATTAATATAACGAGCTTTTTAGTCATGTACAAAATATTATCTTCACTATTATTTACGTTGAAAGTGCAATCGATGAACTTCATGGGTCGTTTACCGAAAATAACCACGTAAATCAACAATATAATCGTTAATAGCAAAAATTTGGTGGTCATTGAAAATGTTAAGGTATTCTAAGTGATCTCATCTAACTTATCCTTTAAGTAAGTAGTTAGGTGCTAATCAGGTTAAATTAATTAGAATTACAAACGTTTAGCTTCAAATAAAATATATATAAAGATGGTTGTGTCTTTGTTATTATCAAACAGATTGTGGTGTGCGCAACTGATGTCTACATATACAAGTGGTATTAAACATCAATCGAAAGTGAGATGTCTAGCGGCAGAAGATTAAGAAGATCGAAGGAAGGAGAACTAGAACAGAGATTGATTGGCATGGAAACGAAAGAACAATGGAGTTTGGGACGGTTGATTGACATTTTCCAAATGAAGTATTTACTGTAAGGTTCTTAGATTTTACTGAGACGTTCTGTAATTTTGTGTTCAGATACATTCGATTGTCCCCATTTGTGTTCTTGTTCACTACAAGATAATCATTGAAAACCAACAATCGAAGATGATTATCTCTTCTTGAGTTCCATCATGAATAAAGCTGTGAACAATAGTTGCTGATGCACTTCAAATAAGTACGAAACAACTGTTCAGTACTCTTATTATTGATATCAGTTTGTCAAAAAAAATGTTTATTATGGAACTGTATTATGTTTTACAAATTATCCAACCAAAAGAATTAATAAATTTAAAACTATTCATCTTTTATAATTGTTGATTCTTTGAATTATAATGCAAGTTAATTAATTTAAAATAACAACTATTGTAATTTTAGTCAGACGGTATTTCATTGCGTTAGTTAATTTATCAATTAACAGATATATTGTTAGGGCTAGAAATAAATGACTAAGAAAGAATAATACTGTTTTAATGTGGTAATTTATACATATATATATATATATATATATATATATATATATATGTGTGCATTTCATATATCAGAAGTAATAAATTTGTCACTACCATAGCCTACATGATGTTAACTTGCTACAGTTTTCCAAGTTACAAGTAGCTCAATGTTCAGTTTAAACGTTTTCGTGTCAGAATATTATTTTTTTTTATTGTATTACTATACATAACAGCTGAGTAAAGTTGTAAACGACTGATGTTTAAGGAAGTGAAAATAATCATGTTTTTCCAAAATCTAACAAAATAATCTTTGAGTAAATTTATCTCATTTTAAGATAAACATGAAGATTCATGCACAAAAAAAGAAAGAAAGAACATGGATTTTAAAAAATTTGAGAAAAACTACAACAACAGTGTACTGTGTAATCATTTTTGACAAGTTTGAAACTTATATTCAAGTCTGTACTAATCATAAAAGAGGTTTCTTACTGCTGATATTGTAGCGAACAAAACACGGGTGGGGATAACCGAATGTAATAAGCATAAAATTCCATAGCTACTTGCTAAATTAGAAAAACCAAATAGTAAACCTTAATTTGCAAAATATCACTCCATCATATCAAACCGAACTGTTGCCGTTGCAAATATCAATCCATCGTCTCACATTTCATTGTTCATGTGGTTTCTTACAAATTGCATTGTGTTCTCGCTCTTTCTTTCTTGATCTTCCCTCAACTTCTGTTGCCGGACATTACGTTCTTTAACTTGCGTTATGTACTACTTAATATAAGTAGCACGCACCACAATATTACTTATTATTTCACAATGTTAGTAGTAGAATTAACTCAAATAATTATGAATATTAAAGCATTCTAGTAGGAATTGGACTTTACTCTTGATTTTGAACACAAGAAAAGTTAATTTAACCGGAAATGAATAGCTACATGCTGAATAATATTTCGCTTGATCTGAAACCACTTTCAAATTCCAAAATACAATAATTTAAAACAAGTTGGATGGATGGTAAAAACCTCTATACTATTGAAGAGAATATACGAAAAGTTACAGCGATACACCTTATTTGTACTTAGAAAAGATTTAATTATTTTAATATTTCTATTATTGATTTGATAATCATTGCAGATGGTATGAACTGTTGTTGATTTAATTTGAGTTACTCAAGTTCTACAAGATTATCAGGTTTACTTGTGCGGCTTGGACCACTTAATCTAATTCTATTGACATCTCACTACACCAACATATATACAAAATCAACTGTACCTTTTCACACTACAAATATCAGATTTTTCAAACTCTCTGAAATGCAGACGGATATTAAACATACCTCACAAAAATCACCTTGACCGGGGTGACACAACATCAATCTGTCTAAGCTTTCTTCTTGATTGCTTTAGACGGTACTAAATACTTCCACTTTTATCTAGTGCAAGTCTACAACATTACGTGAGTCATATGAAGTGTACTGTTAATCATCTGGAATTTATTATATTTAGTGTATCACCAACAGTGGCATTCAGGTACATCGTTTAATCTAATCTGTGACTCAAAAGTAGGAAATGCCTGTCTCCTAATATTGATGTTTACACGGAGACTCAGACTCAATCCCTTTCGCTTCACATACCTTATGGCTTTTTCATTGACCTACTAATTCCAGATAGTGTTGTGAATGAGAACGCAGGTGAGGACAACCAATTTTATTTTAGTACAAAATCGCACAGTTTTTTCGTCAAGTGAGAAAACTATACGTTCAATACTTCATTTGCAAATCCTCCAACAATTGTCTCAAACTTCATCGTCCCTTCATTGACACATCAATTACTGTCTGTTCCCGTTCTCTTCGATTCGTTCTTCCCAAATTTTATGTTGTCGGGCCTTCCACTTCTGATTGGCGTTACGTACTATTTATGCCGACATAAGTAGCATACACCACAGTAGCACCTAAATTACAAAATTGTGCTAATATTTGGAACTTTGTTCAGACACTAATATGTCTTAACTACGCACGAATCAAGACTTCTAAAACAAAAGACCTAAGATATTTACCCATAGTTTGGTTTAGTTTAGTTAACTCCTGTTACCCCTTTGAAGAGCACAGACTGCCGACCAGGATTCTCTAACCATCTCTGTCATGAGCTTTCCCTTCCGGTTCTCGTTAAGTGTTGGTCATTCAAAAGATGTATACCTTTAATTCCCGGTACACTGTGTTCTTTGCTTTCTTTTCTTTTTTGAAAATCCCAATTTAAGGCTCACTTTGTGGTGAGATTTGATGATTTCCGTAAGGTGTGACCTATCAACCTCCTCTGTCTTTTCCTAATTTCCTCTTCATCTGGAACGTGATTTATTCTCTGCCACAGTAGGCTGTTGCTAGTGGTATCCACCCAACGTATCTAGAATATCTTGCGTAGATAATTAGTCATAAAAACTTGTGTTTTTTATGTTTGTTATAGTGGTTCTCCAAGTTTCAGCTCTTCACAGTGGAACTACCTTGACGTTTGTATTGAAGTTTATGACTCTGATATTAGCTGACAGTTGTTTTGAGTTTCAAATCTTCAATTGTAGAATTGCTGTTCTTGTATTCATAGTCTAAAATTATTGTCAAATGTTAAGATTATTTCTGTTTACAAAGAGACTTAAATACAATTTATCGTTTCTATCATTATGGAAACACAGTTAACCTAAACTTTTGTAACAGAATATACTATTTTACTATATATCATATTCATTCGACAAGAAATGATTCAGAATTTTATATTGAATATTTTATGTATTCCATAATTTCACTGATTGAAATCATGAGGCAATTGAAGCTAGACCAACATGGAAAACCTGGAAGCACTGGACGGCCGTTTCATCCTAGTATGGAACTCCTCAGTAGTGCGCATCCACGATCCCTCCCCCCGCGAGACTCGAACCCAGAACCTACCAGTCTCGCTCCAGGCGCTTAACCAACTAGACCACTGAGCAGGCATCCAATGGTATTAATGTCTAACTTCATCCAATCCACGAAGTTGCGCCACCGTACACCATTGTCTTCAGTGAGTTGATATCTCACAATAGACCTGGTTGAACTGCACTGGTAACAGCTTCTCACTAGCGAGCTGATGATTATTATCAGAAGGGGTTTTGTGAAGATTTTAGAAATTTCACTGATTAAAATCATGAGTCAATTGAAGCTAGACCACCATGGAAAACCCTTTCTGATATTCCATAATTTGTAAATTTCAAATTACTTAGGCAATATGTTTCACAAATCAATTTGAAACTTTGTCAATTACTAGAACCTGCTTTCAATTGAAGAAAAAAGTTTTCATATAAATCAAGAATACAATACTTATGAGTATAAAGAATATATATATATATTTCCATAGACATCTTTTTTTTTCTTTTATTAACCAACCAAATCAGGTTTTTATATGTTTATGTTTATGGATTAGTTTATGAGTTAACTTATGAATATATACCAAAAATTGAATTGAAATGATAATGTGTAATAATGACAATAGAGTTTATGAACGATTAGTTTTTGATGGTTAATAGAGGAAAATGAAAGCATTGAAAAGAAAAACAAAATTTATATGACTTTTTGTCTACATATAATCTTTTTCAATGTATAGAGGAAATAAATAATGTAATCACAATTACTTTCTTTTTCTTTTTGGCATGATTTAATTCCATGTTAACAAAAGATTTCACTTTGTATAGAATGTAACAGATAATGTAATAATAGTCATCATAATAATGTGTATATATGATAATGTGAGTATATGTGTAGAGTGATTGATGCAGAATTAATTTAACCATGGTGATAATGTTTGAGGTGAGAATAAATCATTTTCACTTTCAATTGGTAATTTTTCACTTGATTTTGATAATTGCATATATGGTTGAAAATGAACTGAATTCTTTGAGTATTCAGTTGAATGTGATCTAACTGGATATGAATCTTTATTTCTCTGATTAATATTTTCCAGATATTTACTTTCTGTGTGTTTATTCAATGTACCTTGACTACGACGTACTAAAAGACGACGTGTTGCGTGTTTCTTGCGCGAATTTTGATGAAATGTCATTGTAGACGGAACCTTACGATTTATTCGATCGATGTTCGAGCTATTTAGTGACGAAAATGAAGATGATTGTAAATACTTATATGGTTGATTAACATGTCTTTGTGTGCTTATTGTATTGGACCGTTTAGCTGGTGTAGATTTAGTTTGATGAAGTGTATTTATCTGATTAGGGTTCGTATTAGTTGACGATAGCCTGTCTGAAATTGGTAGTTTGCATAGCTGTGAAGGTGGACGTCTCATTGCTTTAAGAGCACGTTTAAGGCCCAAATTGGAACGGTTGATTCGGGATAAATACTCAACCTTGAATCAAAAGCAAACAAAAACTGAGTTTAGAATTGGTTTGTTGTTCACTAGCATCAAGATACTCGTATTTTATTCGCTCATTATTCAATGTATGTTTTTCTTGCTATTTGTAGTTTTTTCTATGAAATAGCGACTTGATGTCGCACAGAGTATAAACACTGGAATTCGACATAACTCCTACTATCTTATTCTGTAAGTATCGGCCTTCTATTATAAATTATCTCATGAATGTCATCGTCAACACTATGATCGATTGTTCTCCATTAATTTAACCTGACTATTTAATTAAACAAAAAAAATTAATTAACAAAGACAAGGACTTCAGTGTTTCGAGAATACGATGAATTCACTGTATATCAATGCTGTTTCTTCAGCTATGTGGGACCTAAAAACTTTAGTTATTTGGATGAAACTGCTATTCGGGCAAATAATACGAAGATTTGTGAACAAGTTTTTAGCTTGTTGAATGTTTAGCTGATTACAGTCACCCGGTTATATTTATCTTCACGGTTGTAGGGATACCTCATGAGTTTTCTTATCACAACACTCTTTTTGGTGTTACTCAACCTATCTATCATTGTACTCAAGCCATATTATTTTACATCAACTTATCCACACCAGGCCTCATTACTATTTACGATACTGATAAAGAGACATGGTACATTGTCTCTTGTCTTCATAGAAAAGAGTTATATGTCCAAAAGATCCATAAACACCATCATGTTCTTCAAGGCAACAGTTCTATAGTGAAGTCCTATAATCTAGTCTCTTTTTGTCCAACAAAGGCTTTTAATATAGTTTTGAGATTTTAGCTAGTTCATTCGAGAAAATCATTATATTTTCAATAGTAAGCAGTTAGTAAACGAGTGAAAATATAATCATTCTTGCTTTATTGAAATTTTTGAAGGGAACTAAATAATTGTAGCAAATTAATGATTCCCGATATCGTCTTAAGTTTACATTTATAATATCTTCCTTCAAATGATTATATGACACTGATTTCCTCATTTTTATTTCAGCTATGTTAAAGAATAATTCTATACAGACTTTGAACAATTTATAGTTGAACTAATTCTGTACAGTGAAAGAAAATCATTACATCTAAAGAAATCTTATATTTTCTTTGGGAAATAATGGATATTATAAGAAGGCAAGTAATGAACAAACAATTACTATTTATATTTATCAATCAAAATGGTGGTCAGCTTTTAGTTTAATTGTGCAATAAGATTGTAACTACTTATAAGTAATACAACGTTTATAATGTAATCTTGGTAAATCACTGAGTTATATTAAGTATTTTATTTGCCAAGTTATGAGAAATTTACTTGTTATAAGCTATTCAACTACTAGAATTAATGTCAAAATTTGCTCTTTCATATCTGAACATTTCATTTCTTCAGACATTTACTTTTAGGAAAAGAGAATGGAAAATCATTTTCACATTCTAATGGTTTTTTTTACTGAAATCAAAACTCACTACCAATTTGTAGTAAAGCTATCATACGATAATGACAAAAATGCAGTCAATCTGCATTCCTGTCCATTCCATTGGGCCTATGGACAAAATATGCTTATATCAAATAGTAATACGCTTCTTCACTCAAACTGTCTGAAATTAAGATAATATCTGTCTCATGTTATACAAGCCACGAAATCAAAGATATACTATGGTCAGAGGGTGGGAAAATCTTATTCATTTGTAGAATAATCAATTGTACCCTGAAATGTTTATGTTTAAAATGATCCTCATATTTATTAACATATAAGGCGACTTTTCAACAATACTTCAGCAAGTGTTCAAAGGAAATATTACGTAGAACTAGCTGTTAAAAGTGATTATTTAACATATACTACAGAATTATCATGAGATGTTATAGCTTACAACAATGTTTAATAACTTCAATAAAACACGATTTAATACTCCTACTTAAATAATTGACTTACATGTAGAATTCCTTGACTTGGTGATATTTTACCCATTATCAACCATTTTGTTATTCTGTTATTCATTGAATCTGTTAATTCATCCAAAAGATTGCATTCACAATCTACAATGATTTTTAGATGACCAAAATTAATATGTTCTTTTGGAAGTTTAAGTGTTCTAGCTTGTGTGTCTAAGTACAATTGAATAGACCTATTATTGATTGCAGTTTCTTTATTAATATAAACAATTTGTGCACGTATCACTGAAAAAGAGAACGGAAATAAACAGAATCGACGATGTGCTATTTTTTTTTATTAATCTCGACATTTTATTTTATAGACGTTTTGAATGAACCTGACACTAACCCTAGTGTCATATTTACCCGGTGAAGCGTTTATAAGCGTTTATGAATATTTTGATAATTAAAATCATTAAAAAATAAAAATAAATATTGCAGCTCATCGTAGTAAATATGGTAATTATTATCAGATAAAACATTCTATGATATTCACTTAGAATTCTTTGAGTTTTATACTTTTAAATCTCAACCATTGCCTTTACTTTCTGTAGATACAACTCTAGTAATGACCAGAACATTTAATTCATTTTATATTCTAGTTGATAGTATGGTGCGTGCTACTTATACTGATATAAGTAGTATATGACGCGAGTCAGGAATGTAATGTCTGGCAGCAGAAGATGGGGAAGATCAAGAAAGGAAGAGCGGGAATAAAAAGCAATTAGTATGGAAATGCAAGAACAACGAAGTTCGAGACAATTATTAAACAATTTGCAAATTAAGTATTACAGTAGTGTTTTTTCTATTTTACCAAGTAACTCGGTAATTTTGTGCTTAGTATAATTCGATTGTTTCCACTCGTGTTCTGTTCACTACAATACTAATAGTTGTAAGACACTTGATTATTATAATAAGTTTTAAAACAATCTCCAGAAAATATAACTGAAAACAAAAATAAACGAATCTATTTCAACTTACCAACATCAGCCATACAGAAACTACTGATTGCACTTTCAAACGTTGGTTCCTCTACGCAACCAGAACATCGAAGTCCTATAAATCAATGAACGAAAAAATTACACAAATTATAAAGTGAAAATCAATAATCTAATTAACAATATTGAGGTGTATACTAATAAAAATTAATGATGTAAAATTAATTATTAGTGAAAACTTTTATCTAGATAGATAGGTATATTTGCGTATGCTCAAAGTATTAAGGTACATATAATTAGATGCTATACGAAACGCAGTTTTTGTTTGATTGAACACACTAAAATGTAACTATTGATACGATAAATGGGTCATCTAGTTGATAAACATTGATAGACCTTAGTGCTTAATGTAATAAACCCATGTATAATCAGATGGATACATCACTATTAAGTTGGTATATTGTAAATAATATTGAAAACAAGGATGTAATATTGACTGTGTTTTTTTTTAGAATATTCAGCAAAATTATTCATCATTCATCCTTGAAAATTACCTTTTTATAACATCTTAATTGATAAATTCAAACCATACAAATGAAGTCAACTTTTTAGGACAGATACATTTGTTCATGAATATTCTATAAACTGATTACACTTCTTATGTGAAAATTATATTTGAAATAATCTCAGCAATTGAAATTTAAATAATTTCAATGATTCGTCCAGCTGACTTGTTTAGACTTCTTCAAAGTAATTTCAATCGCTGAGATTATTTCAATTATAATTTTTGCGTAAAATGTTTTATTTATACTCGATACCCTATTTCTGTCAAACCATTCGTTCTAATCTTAATGAATATTCGTATTGACTACACTCCCATTTTAAATTCAGTTAAGATCAACAATCATCAGAGTATAAAACTAAATTCATACTGAAAAGTGATGATGATAATAATAATAATAAGAGGGTTTATTATTAAGGTCAATACAAATACAAACCATTTTTCATAAAAGTAAAACAACAGAAAATAACTAATATTATTAAGCCAATATTCATTTAAAAATGAAGAATATTTGAGCAAACAATTGTTTTCAATAACTTAATCATCAGGCTCTACAGTTATAATGTAATAAGGAGGGTGTTATCAAGGTAATTACGATCAACGAATTGAGGATGATGGATGTGAAGATTAAGATATAGATAATCGAAAATAATAATAATAATAATAAGGACAAATTAAATAAATAAAAATAAAGCAACGGGGTAAGAGGTTTATAATATTCAGTCTAGGTATTCGGTGATCCAGTCGTAGGCCAAGGTAAACAAAGAGGCTGGATATATTTTTTCTGGATACATAAATTTGGTCTTCTGGAGTTGATCCAGATGGCTTCGGCTGTGTAAAGCAGTCGTAATCTAGCTCCTTAAAGTAAATATTTTGGAACTTGATATAAAACAGAGAAAGCTTCCTCTATTTTGATATGAAATCCACTATCTACCAAGTGAGAAAGAATAGTGCTGTTAATCGATTTGGTAACTCCTTTTCCCAACCATGCTAGTACATGTTCACGAACACGCAAGGATAAACCCCTCTGAGTACGGCCTATGTAACTAGCTCCACAGGAGTAGTTGAACTGGTATACACATATGGAAGAGCCCATCTTCGGTAATCTACCCTTGTCTAGTTTTGTGAGTACTGGTTTATTTATTTAATATTCTCTGTAAGTTTTTAACATAATGAATGATAAACAAATTTCATTCATTTCATTAGATGAAATTTTATTCTTACTATCCGAAATCAGTTTGATTAAATATACTGACAATTTCAAGTGCGTGTCTTTGCTTGAAATGATTTAAGGACTTTAGTTATATTTCTATAGTTTCTAGTTTATTCACATCGAAACCATTTAAATAATCTCTCAAAAAACCTAAGAGGGTTATGGCGTTTTGCACGATAGGTAATAACATCCATACATTGAAAGAAGCTATTATTTAATAAACAACCTGCTTAGTAAGTTCCTGTAGGTATTAATCTTGTTTTTATTTGAGCAAGATATCATTTGTAGCTGATCGTCTACTACGCAATAAGTATTATTAGGCCGTACATATTTAAATCACAAGTCAGTTTTATTGATGAGGTTTCTAACGTAGCCAACAAGCTAAGTAACTCAGTATTATGTGTTATTTGGTTTCAGATTCGTTCAAAAAAAAGATATAATTTCCATAATAAAGGTCTTATATTGGTTAGATGTATATTCAACAGGCGATAGCTGGAAAAAATCAGACTGAAAATGTTTTATCGTAGATTAAACCTCATGTCACTCAGTACCATGTATGTTTATTTATCAAATCATAGGTAATATTTCTATCTCACGAGATGACTAAGGTTCCTATCTCTTGAATGACATCAGTATTTATTATAAGCGACCTAAAAGTTCTAGCAAATAATGACTCTGCTTTCAAAACAATGTTTTCTGAATACTTGTAAATGTAGTAGTGTAGTTCATTTTATATTCCTTGAATAACATGAATTTAATAACAGTGCAGAGAACGTCTTTTTCATTGCATTTTATAAACTATAAATAAATTATAAGCAAAGATGTATAAAGGCTAGTAGTTGAATCCAGGACGTGCATTTCGTCCTGTTTGGGACTCGTTAGCTAGAGGTGCCTGCATCTGAGCTGATGTTCCAATACCGTTCGCTTCAAACGCCGTCACGTTATCCACTTAGCTACTGAGTCCTGATAGCCAATAAAAGACAGATCAATTGTAGTCCTGAATATCAATGGGAAGATTCAAGTAAACAATCCCAAATGAATATAAATAAATTAGTTAGAAATAAAGAGTCATAATCAGTAAATAAAATAAAATGAGAATTTTTTGTGTAAATGTCAAACATTTTAGCCTTTGAGTCGTACAGATTAATTAAATCGTTTGATGTATCAGGATTCCTTTGTACTTGTTGAATGCTTGATTTTGAATTTTAAATACAGTACATTCGTTCGCGCTTGTCTAGTATTTCTTGTTCCAATTGCGTTATTTCTGGGATTCTTAGTTTATACTACAATTCAAATACTCCTAATTATCATAGGTTTATTTCCAAAGAAAATATGTTATAAAGAAACACTCGGACAGTAGAGAATTATTTTGTTTCTCTTACATATTGTTGATCATTCCTGGGAATGTATTAAATAGTATTTCATAAAACGGAATCAACTGACCTTACAAAAATAGTATTAATTATTCAAGAATTTAAATGATAATATTCAACTTCGAGATTTAGCAGAGGTGGTACAAACGTAACATTTCATAAATAGTAACTAAGAGGTTAACCAAGAGTAATGGTTAAGTAAATATTATTTGAACAGAAACGAAGTTTATGCTAAGATGATAATTATTATTTAGCATTCTTATTATTTCTTGATTATTTAATCTTTTCGAATGAGAAAAATCATCCAAAATTTAAGATGAAACATACAATGTAAATTATATTTTGTCTGTTGTTACTGCTACTAAGCATAATACATTCATAATCATCTCAAATTCTGGAGCAAATATGCATTCACTCAAGACGCTGTATTACATTAACATTATGAGGTGAACTTCAAAATACAAATGTCAACGAAGTTGAAATAATTGTAATAGCAATCATAACAAGAGAGACTAAACATTGAGAATACAGTATGACAGCAAGAAATAAAAGGGAATGTGTAAAAGAATTGCCCACAATTTACATCTATAGAAGGATATATACGTCACTGAATAATTCTGAGCAATGTCTCTTAACGTCTCTGACCACTGATTTGTTATCACGTAGACCGCAACCACGTTTTCTGTGACTGGCAACATGGCTCTAACTAACAGTCAACGACTCTATAGATTGATGGCACATTTAGTTTCGGCCGCCCCTGGCTTTTTCTAACATTGTAGTGGCTGTGCTTCGTTGACCAATCACCCTCGTAGCCGTTTTCATATAATCCTCAACGGTGTTTGAAATCAGAAAGCAAAGAGTAGCAGCGACTACAGTATTATTAGCAGGTAACTCAGACCACAAAGCAGAGGCAAATGAGTGAGTCAGCGATTCGAAAGAGTAAAGAGTGTAGGTTTAAATGTACATGTATATATGTAGGGAAATGAATGGATCATCGAATCAATTAAGCCGCTAATGATAAAGCTAGCTGAATGAATATATGCGTAGGCGGTAAGCAGTGTTTAGGCATACATATTGCATACAAGCACAACAATAATAAAGGCACAAGAAGTTGTTCAAGTACGGATGACTCTGTCGGCCGAATAAGTTAACAAAAGGGCTTGACTGGATTAAATGAGAACAAACTCAATTGCTATAACATAATCCTAATACAACCAACATTGTTAATCTTAGTAGACTGTTGTTAGACAAATGAAACATATTTCAGTCATATTTATTTCATTTTTATATCATACATTTTCACTACATAGGTCCATAAATAACGAGTACTTAAAGTAAACTGACCACTTAAAGTAATTTGCACTAAAAAAGTATTTTAACTAATCAGTTAACAATAAAACAACTTTTTACTGAAGTGGATTTACAGTCCAAAAAAAAACCCACATTAGTATTCAATACGTTCGCAATTCTTTAAATGGAATTAATTTTGTAAATGTGTTAGTCAATCTTAAGAATCATTTATAAACAAATGCTAAATTATAAATTTCTCCATTCATCTACTTAAAACAAAAAAAAAGATTTGGAAATAGAGTAAATTCTTTAATAGTTTAGTCCTATTTCACCACAGAACTTTCTATTTAATATTGGGTTTCATTTTCAACGTTTGAAATAACCATAATCTATTTACGCGCTGGGCATCTTTAAATATATTTCTTAAGCATCTTCAAGTAATAAAGATCCTGTCGAAGCTTTTTATCATTTTAATAAATATTTGAATATGAGAAGGGGTATCGTGGAGATTTTAGCGATTTCACTGATTGAAATCATGAGTCGATTGAAGCTAGACCACCATAGAAAACCTTGAAGCACTGGACGGCCGTTTCGTCCTAGTATGGAACTCCTCAGTAGTGAGCATCCACGATCCCCCACCCCGCGAGACTCAAACCCAGAACCTACCAGTCTCGCTCCAG